GGGAGAGGTGTTCTAAGATTTGGTTTTAGTTCTCTTTTTGCTCTGACTTTGATTGATGATAAATTAATTTTATTTCCAAAGCTGTCTGTTTTGCCTGTGACAGTAACTGCTGCAGGATCCCTGCCCTTATCTCGAGCCATTAGCCTTTCATTGTATTCCCTGCCCTGCCCAGCTGAGGAGGGGAGCGTGATGGGCACCTGCCCTCCAGCCAGGGCCAACCCAGCACATCAACCAACATCAAACCAAAGAGCAGTTACATGTAAAGTTTACAGAGATGTGCTCCCACTCAAATTACCCTTCTTAGCTGCTAAAGACAAATGAATCTTTTGCTTTGAAGAAATGCTTCAAACCATCTTTTGTACCTTATAGGCCACCACAAAAGTAGCTTGCCTGATCTTTTAAAAAGATTACTAGCAGAAACTGCAGTAGCAGAATGGAGCTACAGTCCCCCCTAAGCGCATCAAAAGGTGTGTGTGTGGGGGGGGAAGTCCAGGTAAGGATCACAGTTGGGAGGGAACCGACATGTTTTCAACAAGTCTTGTTTCTTCAGATTCTGTAGATCTTACCGATTTACACTGAACATTACACATCAAGCAAAAGACTAAATGACTAAGGGAAATCTGCAACAAAGTTGAAGAAAGTGCAACTTTTTTTTTTTTCCAAGCAGCTAGATACTTTTCTTCTTTACAGAGGAAAAGTGAGTATTTGTCTGGTATTTTGTGCCAATTTTTTATTTGAATGAGTAACTGAAGTGAGTTCCCAGGCTTGCTATAGACTTTAAGTCAGAACAAAGACCCTAACCACAGCTCAAATCTTGGAAGAGTTTCTGCTTCACTGCCTGGTCAGATAGACATTTGAAAACCTGCAGCTAAGAATTTTCTGCTTAATAGCATTTAGAACTCAAAAGAGAAGCTGACAGAACTTAAGCTGTTCTCAACTTTATACACTGCCAGCACCAGTGAAATCCATGTGCTATGCAGCTTCTATGTACAATTTCCAGTCCTTAACAAGAACTTGCTCTCACACAGAAATAGCAAGATCAAACAGAAACTACAGCCTGTGTTTTTCATGGAAATTAGGAACCATATACATTATAAACCCTCAACAAAAATTTGAGGTCTGTATTTCCAAAACTGTGGTGAACATTTTAGTGCCACCATAATCATACAGTGATCTCAAATGAATCCAACACACTTAGTGCATGGGAAAGGACAAAACTATCTCTAAGCTGCAGGTGGAACATGGATTCAGACAACTCTTCAAGCTGCCTTAAAATTACTTAGCTTAGACACAGCAAAAATTCAGTGTAGGAAGCCTGCCCAAGCATTCAGTCAACATGACAAAGGGGTTCTGCAACCCATCCCGAGCTAACCAACTGCAGCTGTAGCAATGGGTAAAGCTCATTTTCACATGTTATGGTTATTGTCAATATGGATGCACTCCAAGAAAAGACAACTTTCTACCTATGCCAGCCACAAACACAACCCTAACTCCTTTTAAGTAAAAGGTTTTCTTCCCTGCCAGCTCCCCAAAGACCGTGTGCTGTGAGTCGACTTGAAGTGTTTTTTTCAAGAAGTGTAGAAGGGAAGGTGTCAGTTTGGAAAAGAGAAATGGGGGGTTACAGTCAGCTCCCGCAACACCCAAGCTCTATTCTGCAGATTGAACAGAAGTCACAGAACACAAAAGCTTCTGCTGAACTGCTGTGCGAGGCTCTGGGAACCCAGGAGTGCTCCATCGCAGGCACGAAGTTCATCCAACTGCGCTCTCCTGGAACAAGTCCTTGGGAAGTGTCAAGACCGATACGGCTGCTGCTGACTGGCCACATGCACAACAACGTTTTTAGAACTATGCATCACAACAGTAACTCTCTGGTTACCTCTCTGATAACATTAGCTGACTTGGTCTACATACCTGATACGTCTGGAAGAGCATACACACAGCACAGTAGGGAGACTGCTGAGCCATGGTCCGATTGTATTCTTTTTCGGCCTCAAAATTTGGTGGTCGATTCTGCCACAGCTGGCTGAGTGGCTTGGCCCACGCTTCTGTCTCCTCAGCTTCTTCCTCAGGTGTTAGTTGCTCTGATGCCTCTGCAATAAGAGAACATCAACACAGTGATAATGTGTCCTTTTAGACAACCTTCTTGCAAATGAAACTAAATAAGGCAAGTAGTTATGAATGGAGATGACAGGAAGACTACCAGAAATCAAATTTACAGAAGAGCCAGTAACTCAGTCTCCTTTTTAGAGGCTTCCACTCATCAAGCAACCATGCAGGCACGACAGACTTATATGGGCGAGAACAGAACCAGCTCCAAATTATGTCAAGATTGTCAGCCAAAGAATCTGGTGTTGGTGGGTTTTTTTTTTTTTAAATGATGAATATTTACATGAATTACTGGAATGCACTAAGGCAGACTATTATGCAACAGTCTCTGGTACTGGTTTAATACTCCTTTCAGAGTTGTGACTTCGCAGAGACTGGAATAGGAAAGAAAGAAGCCGCCATTCGAGAGAAAAGCTTAATGATGCAAACACACACACACCAAAAAGACAAGCACCTTGTCGAGGACGCAGGGGTGTCACTTGCTGACTCCGGTTTACCACCAGTTACTTAACGGAACACCCCACGCTGTCCGCAGAAGCCGGGACGCTCCCTACAGTTCCCTGAAGTGCACAAGGCTCACTTACCGTCATCACTAATGCAGTCCTTCACCAGGAGCGGGTGATGGCGCGGGAGCTTGCTCAACGGCTGGCGACGACCCTTGGACTTCTTACTCTCCTTCATCGACCTTAGGTACTCCTTTGCTGCCTGCACAAGGAGAAGCCATTCAGCAGTCAGTTAGTGCAAGTCCCTTTGACAGTACTTTTGAAAGCGTTTATTCTGAGCTTAAAGAAACCTCCACAAGATGCACACAGGCTTCCATGATTTTATTTCTAACATACTCACTTCAGCCCTGAACTAGGTAAGGTTTTGAAAGAACTGCTTGCAGCACTTTTGCTAGGGAAAACCAGATAGAGCTGTGCTAGCTCCATTGAGCCATGGAAGAGAGACTTCTCACGGGTCCCAGTGCAGCTTTTCACACAAGTCTTTTTATATAAGAATTGTGTAAAAGACAGAAACAAAGACAGACAAGTTGAATGGTTCAACTTAGAAGAGCTATGGTAAGGAGTCTCGTGCGTTCTGGAGGAATCCTGTTTGTACGTCAACTTAAAAAATCCAAAATTAAAAATAAAAGAAAAAATGTTTAAAAAAATTACAGTTCTTTGGCATCTCAAACTAACAGGCTCACTTTGAAAGAAGGGAACTTTTACTCGCTCTGCTTATTACTTGCAATGATGTCTTTCCAGACAGACTGGAAGCAGGAGACTGCAACAAGAGTTATTTCTTCCTCCCTTTGCCTTATGTAAAAACAAGTGACACACTGACAAAATTACTACTAACCTGCCAAGCAAGGCAATAAAGGCAATGACTGTAACAGCACAGGAAGTCCCTCAGTAGAAAAGAAACATTTTTTTTTTTTGGAATCTGTTATTCCTCTAAGAGCAGAAGCAAATCTTAGATTAAATGCACCTTACATATTTTCAAATCTCTTCTTTTCATAAATAATCCAGAAGAGAGCACAACCATGTCTGATCTCGTATACAAGACTTCGAAGAAAGAGAAATCCTTTTATTCAAATGGAAATTAGCATTCCCCGTTACCACCTGATGGAAAATTTGCTTCAAAATACACCACACTGGGGAAAAAGATCCACATCACTTCAACATTTCACCTTTTCCCTGTATGGAGTATGCAATGGAGACACTGATATCAGCAACACAATTTCTGTAGTTTAAGTATCCATGAGAACTCTTTCTTAGTTTCAGCTTAATTATTAACAGATTTGCCCATTTCCTGTTCCACTTCTGCAACTTCTGAATTTTGAAGACATAACCGTTATCCGCTTCCCACTCTAAACACAGATTTAAAGAGGGAAACAAAATAATTTGAAAAGACACAACCAAGTAAGATTTAAACTATTACAACCTTCTCCCGGGTTGCCTAAGGAAACATTCACTGGCAGTTCTTAAACCCTCAGATTTACATTGTCCCAACCAGTAATTTTTGTTCCATCATTTCTTTTTTAAGAAGGGACACTCAGATGTTCACACGTATGCGATTTTATATTAAAAAAAAAAAAAACAACCCAAGGATATTCATGTGCTTGTCATAAAGGCTGGATTGAACTCCATTTCAGGTATAAATAGGTGTCTATTGCTGTAAAAGGATGTGAATCAGCCTGTAACGCTACCACGTCAAAACCACCAAGCTACCCTTTCCCTTAAAGCACTTACATAATTTAGAGAAGTACTCAAAACAAGGGATCTCCTTGTTTTCTAGAAGAGGTAAAAGACTTTCATCTTAATTCTTGCTTGTTTAGCAAAACCCATCGCTATTAAAAACCACACTAATAACTGAGCAACCTGCTAGGCAAACACCAGCAGAGTGAGAACGTAACCTGCACAGACACGAAGCTTTGTCACAGCAGATCTCCGAGCACAGAACACAGCCCTTCGGCTTTCAGTACTCCTGCCACTCATACCTCTGCCAGATCCTGCTCATTCACACTGGCGGTGGCGCTGGCTTTCTTTCCTGAAGTCTGCTCGTTGTCAGATCCGCTGGCATCCCCTCTAGCGTAGCTGTGCACTGTAAGCACCCCAGCCGGCCCAGGAAGAGTTCGTTTTGCCAGCAGATCAGTCGATTCAGAGTCAGAAGAACCAGAATGTGCCGGTGAGCTGGGCTGAGCGCTGGAAGTTGCGCTCTGCTTCGAAGTCATCAGAACTGAAGTGGAGTTTGAAGCATGTGAAATGGAGAGATCCAATGCAGCTGCTTGTTGATCTTCCTCTTCCTCCTCAAGCTTCACTGTTTTCAGTTGTTCAGATTTAGCAGAGTCCATACGATCTAGAAGAAAAGACACACTGACTTCTGAAGTCTGGGCAGCAGAGCGAACATGTGTGTAATCACTTGCACAAAGCCAAACTGGAAAGCAACTACACACACACAAAAAATGACGTTAAATCATGTAAAGAGTAGATCATTAATTCAAACACGTATAAAATCATGGCTGGCCTAGAGAGAGAGAGAGAATAAAAGCATCTGCTCATTGCCTCTTCCAGCACAAGAACCAGGGCGTATCAAACACAACCAGAAGAGAGTGAGTTAAAAGAAATGGAGATGATCCTCTACACAGCATAGCTAAACAGCCCAACTCTTGGCCACATGATGCTGTGGGTAAGAGGTTACAAGCGTTCATGGGAGATGTAATTGAAGAAAAATAAAACCCCACAAACCAATACAAAATTACTAAATACAAGCTTCAAAGGGCTGGAAACCAGAATACTAGAGGGAGGCATTACATACATTTGCCCTGCTCTTATATTGTTCCATAGGCCCCTTACTCCTCCCTTGAGAGCAAGAATAACTGACCCATTACAGGCCACATTAATTTTCCTCCAACCTACTGATTACAAAATTACACATAAAACATCCATACAGCATACCAGACCCACACTACCAGGAAGCGTGCCTGTGTTTCACTCAGCAAGTTCTACAAACAGGTTACATTGCGCAACAGGGATAGAGAGGACCTCAGACTACTGAGGCATCCAATACATTTCTGTGTGCAGGCAGACAAAATAAGGAGAGCAAAAAATCAAAAGCGAGAAACACCTATTTCTTAAGCAAGTCTTGTGCAAGTCTCTCCTTTTCAATTCAGCTGAAAGGCAACATCCTCATGACCTACCTGGTCAGTCACTGAAGCAGCTAGAGGATGGCTGTCTACACCTTTGCTCTCTCCCAACATGTTTTGACATAATTCTCAGTGGGGAGTTATCCACAGATAGGCCAAAAGCCAACAATTCAAGCTGTGGTTATTTCATTTACTCAGACCAGTGGCAGAAGTATCAGACAAATTTAACTAAAGGGCACAACCTAGAATTGTTCTACATGCACTCTCTGGTCTTGAAAAAAATCAAATAGTAGTATCTCAAGTCTCATGACAGTACATTTCTCAGGTGCTTGTTACGGCTCTGACAAACTCGTGTCTGCTTTTTTTGGACATGACAACATCCTACAGAGTAGCATCGTATGAGAGAGTGTCCCAGATTCAGCTCAAACAGCTCCTCTCCCTGAAGGATAATACCCTGGCCCTCCAGGCCAGGATAAAGCTGGACACACAGTTACCTGGAAGCTTGAGCCCTTGTTCACCTCGCTGCGCAGCTTCACTCGCAGGTCTCTCACGAGGCTCTGTCATGTCTGCTTCATACTGCGTGGAGCTCAGCTCCTCCTTGGGGAAGGCCTCGCTCTCACTAACCTCCTGAGGCACTTCCAGGCAGACCCTGTGTCTTTTTGTTCCTATGCGATGTTTGGGAACGCTGCAGAAGACAAATCCATACAACACGTGAGCTGGTTGAATTTGTGCCTGGATGCGCAAAACACAGCCTGGTTTGGGTCAGTGTTTTCTGAGACAACATCTGGCAAGCCAAATAGTTTCCAAATTATTCTGAAGTGTTTTCTTTGCCTTTACAGAAGCAGAGTCAGTAAATCGTAGGGATGACTCCTCAGCATCTATTAATCATGTATTAGGCAGCGATGCTCTAGCCAGGCATTCTTTACCTTGAAAAAACAACCCCAAAAAGCACCCAAACAAAGCCCAAAGCAAACCTAAGCAACAACAACAACCTCTACGACCAAAGACAGCTTTAGGAACAGCAGCTGACACTGGCTGAAAAAGAGTTAACTGCAAAGTGTATTGCCTTCAGCAAGCAAGAACCACTTGCTGATGTCTAGGGATCTGCTAGCAGGTACCGTCCCAGGATCCCAACACACCCCCTTTCTCTTCCAGCCTCCCAGTGCATGATGCACATGTCCGAGCCAGGCTTTGAATGTCTGCCCAAAGTTGAAGAACTACCTCTCAAGCTGGTGCATTTCTTGTCTACCACAAGCCATCAAAGTAGACTCAAACAGTAAAACCAATTAAGAGTAAACACTCTTCCCAAGGCAACAGCCAGCCAACTCCGCTGCTATTCTACCGGAATGGCAAGCATTCCACTGCAGCTGGGTCCAATTTCTAATAACCCAATAGAAAAGCAGAGGACTATATAAAGCACTACCTTTTCATCTCATCCCCATCCACCTCCTCTTTACACGTCTCTCCTGTTTCCATTTCCTCAGCACACTGTTTCCCATTCTTGACTTTTTGCATGAGATCCCCTTTAAGGAACTCTGCTGCCTCTGGGGTTGGAAGAGCATGGTCAATGACGGTCACGTCCTTCCCAGCTTTCCACAGCTTGTAACGGTCTGGCTGGTACTTCCTCACAAACACATCCATGGAGATCTTCACCATGTCCTTCCGACACGAGCACTGAAGACACAAGAAATATTCAGGTAAGGCCACATGTTCAACAATTCTACGCTGCATTCCTGTATCACTTTGCTTTAAGGAGCTTTTAAAAAAAAAAAAAAAAATCCCACAGTTACACATAATTGAACCTCAGAACTCTCAAGGCTTTCCGAGGGAGTCAAAAGGACATACATAAGCTACTGAAAACTGGGGAGAAAAGCCACCAAAAATGATGAAAGAGAAAATCACCCATTACCACAATAACTAAGAAAGCAAGCTCACTAGCCTTTTACAGAGTTGCTGGTAGAAGGTGAGCTGGTTTTAAAGTGAGCTCATCCAAAAGCAGAGACTATAAGAAGTCTGAGCTGTACAAACTCTAGGCCTAGCCAGAGCAGCTGAGTTCCCCCCCGTCAGGGCACAGTTACAACTAGTGCTTCAAAGCATTCACGTCAGCGTAACGATAGAAAACATATTCCCTGTTTGTAAGGCATCTCTACAGGGATGTAACACTATCCAGTCTAAAGGTTTGGCCAAGATACTTTGGTAAGCGACTTAAGTTACCAAAGTCATACCTCCAGGATAAACGGCCAATAAAGAACGGTTAAATTATCAGAGAAAATACTGACGAGCCCTGGCCATCAAGCACACCTCTTCATCTTTGGAAAGGCAACCTTGTCTCTGAAGCCTCACTGGGTCTACAGAAAGCTAAAAACCATGTTGTATGCTACCCACAGCTGAAACACGGACATGAAACAGGAGGCTGACTGGACATTGTTACCGTATCAGAAAACAAATATCACATCTTAAATGGACACAGCACTGAATTCACTGCCTTAGAACAAACCCTGGGGGCTTCACGAGCAGCAGAGCATGAGCTTACCTTTACCTGTACGCAATAGGATGGCAACAGACCACTTACCAGTACAGACTGCTTCCCGTACTCGATCCACCGAAGAGTAGCAAAGTTGGTAGATTCAGCACAGTTGAAGCCATGATTAAAGCCAGCATGATAGCTATAAGGAAAGGTTATCATAAACTCTCCAGCCTCCTGTGTCACCTAAAAGACAAATGAGACATCGCAATGTTATTCACAACTTAAGAGTCTAGTTGGTGGCTCTGAATAAAAGGAGCTCCCGTATCCCTCATGCAGTGTGTCCGAAACCCTCGCCCGCAGATGGTGGTTGCAGTTACTTGCTTCAATGGACAGACAACACTTATCTTCACCGTTCTCCTACTTTAGTATCTGTTTACTGGAAAGCAACCCTCAACAGTTTTTTTTTACTAAAACAGAACTGGTCAAAATAGCACAGAAACACACACATGAAATGCTCTGTGACAAGCTATCCAAAGGTCATAAAGGTACTTATCTCTATCAGCTACAGGCTTGGCTGTACAGTATCTAAGGCCAAGTCAAATTTCTACCCACACAGAACCTGGAAATTGGCTAGTTTTCTTTTGCTGTTCAGGTTCAAGTACAACCCTCAGTCAGCTTTCCACCGCTGTTTGTCAACATTTCCCCACGGTCTAACAAAGGTTCACAACAACAAAACCCTTCAGCTGCCCACACAGATGTGACAGCATCTCTGGGTAAGGACTCAAAGACTAGATCTTCAGTGTGTGTGTATGTGGGGGTGGGTGTCAGGTTATCACCTGAGAAAGTAAGGGTGTCTATAAACTTATTAACGTAATGACAGAAAATTAATTGGGATGAGTCATATTTTCTGGTGAGGAAGTAGATCACAACAAACTAAATTAGCAGGGGACAAGTCTGAAACAAAAAAAGAACACTCTCTCCTCAGTGAATATACAGCTAAGCAGTGAGGTTAATCTAACACAGGATGCTGTGTGTAGTTTTGAGTAAAAAAAGACCAACCCCACAGAAGACAGAGCCTTTGTTTTTAATAATCCCTGACATATTTTTCTGTCTCAAACTCATTCAGGCCCAACTGCTGCATAACCAGAGGTACAGTGGGAAAGGAGCGTCTTATGCCCTCCCTGTCCCTATCTTCCTCTCTAAGCATCTGCTATCGGCTGCTGTCAGAGATGACACAGAGCTGCATGAACATCTTGACTGAGCTGGTAGAACCACGATCGCTTTTCTACACCTTATCAAATGGGATGCCGTATTTCTTCAGAATCGACGGAGAGATGAGGGTCATCTTGTGACGGAGAAACGCTTCGCAGCTTTGGGCACTTCCTGGAAAGAAACCTGTTTAAAAATAAAGGCAAGGAGAGGTGTTACTATTCTGCTGTGGACTACATGAACTTTTCAGTAATTTTTAGGAAAAGTTACTGTCTAAACAGTATTTTTCCCTAGGCCTACAAGTATGGACCACCTTATCTGAACTGCTCTCGCTTGCCTTCTGAAGAAAAAGGACAACTCCTGGAGATTTATCTTTAATAGATGGCAGTTTGAAAGAGCAGAAGAAAGACCGCACACAGAAGGATCCTCCCTTGGCTATAACCTTCCAGTTATAATAATCAATAATCAAGGATTTTCTTGTTCAAGGTCGGACAGACCCAAATGCATAATTTGTGACATTTCTCATGTGTGTATACTATAAAGAAACACTCAGAAGCCATATAGTCTATACTCTAAAAGGCAAATTATTAGTTCAGCCATGCCAGCCTGTGCTCTTGCAAGTCTTTACAGACTTGTTGTACTCTAGAAGAGCTGAAACCCCTTGCAGCTGTTCATCCCACCTTCCGCTAAAGACAGGACGTGAATTGCCCAATTACCTTTTGCAAGTCTCTCCAGTCGCTTCCCATGCTCTGGAGGGATGGAGTACCTGTAGTCGTAAGAACAAGCCTGTTAAATTCAAGTGACATGACAAGTTTTGGCTGGAAATCTTCAATAGGCATCAAGGCATGAATTACTTTAAAAAGAAAATAAAAAATCCTCCAACTCTACACTGTGTCTTTCAAAGTTTGATGATATAAAGCTAAAAATCTTTATTGAGAACTTTTACCTCTCTATCTCAAGAAAAATCAAGAGCCAATAGCTGAACATCTCCACTGACTTTTGCTTAAGCGGTCAAGGAACTAGTCTGATGCACGTGACTGGCAAATCTGCGCAGCAAAATATTAACTGTGAGAAGAAAGGGAAGAGCCCTGCCTGACCTGTCTTGGTTCACAGCCGTGCAATCGCTAGTATGCTCAGTGCAATGAGGAACACAGAGCAAGAGGGAAAACGGAGTCATCTCCAGCTGCTCAGACCAACATGGGAGTAAGCCAAACAGAGAGACACATCCTTACTTGTGCACAACTTGACGTAGCCCTAAAGGGCACGACACTCTCTCTCTACACACTTCATGGGTGCCACAAACCTCCTAGCTGGTTTGACTACAGTAAAAGAAACCAACTACTTAGCCTGCTTTTGCTCTGGAATAGAGTGCTATATTCTTGAGTTCTTCCCTAAACACATCAGACTAAGGTTAACTTCTTCCACATACAACTGTGAAAGAAGCAATGGTCAAAAGGTTTATTTGACTGAACCATTCTGTTTCTCATTCCCATGCTATTGCCACTGCATGGGGTTGTTCATGGGTCACATAGCGCTGGCTATTATTTTTTACTTCAAAGTTGTATTAAAAGGCAGCCAAAAATACTAGTTTCCAACAAAACTGCCATGGAAACAATTGTCAAAGTTGCTTGAGAAATTTATTTGCGAACAGAAGGGAATGATTCACTCTTAAAATGCAACCCATGCTACAGAAAAATTCAGGAGCCTCCCCTAAAAACAATCCTGAAAGCTCACGCAGCAAGATCCACTGTCACAGCTCTGAAAGCAGGCTAAACAGTGACATTTCAAAGTCTTAAAAACTGCCTGTTCCCCTAGTGCCTGCGTGACAACAGACATATTATCTCTGCACAGCAGTTTTAGAGCCTCAGGAAATCATAAGCAAGTTTTCCAAGTTCTGGCCCTACTGCAGCAGAGAGCATCCACCTTACATTATAATTCTGAAGGACCCTACATCAGGACAGCAGAGGGGCTTTCTAGGAGGTAACCAAGCAAATGCTACTGAGGACAGGCACTGCTTTGCAGTTCCTTACAGGTTTCTAGCGTTCCTGTCGTCAGATACTACTGCAGTGCAAGGTCAGAGGGATGCCAATTCCTTCAGTCAACTCCCGTAACTCCACGACTTTGACTCCAACATTTTAGGTTATTGCTTTTCCACACCCAGAAGCTTCCCTACAAAATCTTACCATGACTTGGGTTCTCCAAAATGCAAATAATTAATACTGTAGAGATCCATGTCCTCAGTATGCCAAGCAAAAGAGGTTTTCCACATGCCAAAATAGAGGTAAGGAGTATTCACTCCTTCAATGGTTATGCCGCTTTCATTCTCCACAATATCCAGGATTGTGTTCAATCTGCCAATATTCCACGCATCTACGTGCTGCAAAAGACAAGCCTCCTGTCAAACAAGCGCTACGAAGAACAAAACCACACAGCTAGGACGACAGGTGCAAGAGCTATCGAGCTATCGTTCACTTGTGAAACAGCACATCAGGACAAATCACCTACTGGCACCCCTCAAGCCACAAGCTAGTCCAAAACATTACCTAAACCATGGGTTTTGCTTGGTGTTAGCTTACATACTCATTGTTTACTAGCCACCTTATTTTTTTCCTTTCTGTAATCAGGCAACATAACGATGAGGAAGGAGGAATAATCATGAAGCTACAGACTTTACAGAGCAGAAAACAATAGTGCGAGCTTGAGCTAATGTCTGAACCCTCTGAACAGAAACACTTTCCAAACATCTTCTAAAAAGGAGTTGATCATCCTAATTTAGGAGAATGGCACGTAGAATGAATACTCTTTTCTAACGTTTATCACCCCAACACAATAATGGCTACAGAGCTGTCCCACAAAAATCCAGGCACCAGTGGATACCAAAGCAGCGTGTGTTCACTGATCAACACTTCCAACCCCCAGAGCCTTTCAGGACAAGGCAGGGTAACAGCAACGCTTACGCAACAGCGGTTTTTGCTTCCCTCACCTAAACTGTACTACACTGAAGCACTAACCGAGCTCCTTAGAACGTTACCTCTATTAACCTCCTTTAACTATCTGGGTTAAATGCAGAGTGTGTATAAACATATGTTTTATTGTGTTCCTGCCGACTCCAGAAGCTGGAACTCAGAGCCCAGACTATCATTAACCCTTTCTGAAAGTTAAGAATCAAATGCTGCTTTAGTATTTATGGAATACAACACACAGGGCTAACTGTGACTTGAAAACCAAACCAGTTTTGTTACCTTGTCATAAAGGGTGCCGTTAACATCAGCACCATAGATGGGGGCATTGAACGTAAGGTTCTTCCAGTATTTTCGTTCAAGGTCTTCGAAGTCCGTGTAGCGGGGTGTGCAGTACCTGAAAAAGCAACAAAGATAATAAAGACTTGGCAATTTGATGCTTGATGAGTCTACACTAACCTTCTCCACCACTGAAAGAGCAGAAAGCTACGATAAAAATACCCAATGCATGTTCATCAGCCAGACCCCTACCTCCCAGAACAGCAATCAGAGCAGTCACAGCTCTCTTCCTGTGAGACTTCAGAACAAAGGATCAGGAAGAAAATGATTTTCCCTATTTCTCGGTTTACTTTCATTTTTACTTTGTGCACTTCTCTCGGGTCAAAACAATTTCACTTTCTAGTTGTTGCTACTTGGCAAGGAAGGATGCAGTCAAAACCAGAAATAATACAAAGAACAACTTCAAAAAGAGGAAAAGTTTTCTGCCACTGTGAAAGTTGACAAACATTTCCAGACTCACCTGCTAGTACGCTGGACAAGCAGCTGCTCAGTTTACATACAAAACATCTGCTCTTCATGTCCATTTCCTGCTAACTATATACTGGCCTCTTAGAATGTAAATTTGACCCCTCAGTGCTACACAAACACTTCGTTAACATGTATGTGTGTATCTCTATATTCCAGGCAATTACATATATAGCATCAAAGAGTATTTTTCAGTAAATTATTCTATTTGAGAAACAGAAACTGCTCTTGCAAGACAAAACAAGCTTAATGGGCAGAGTGCAGCTGGCAATTCCAATGCCATTTCCTAATGGTGTTTTGCTTAAACTCCTTTTAAAGCGGTCTTTTCTCAGCGTTCATTGCCGTGTCAAGAACATGTCTTTCTCTACTATTCTACACAGCAAATACGTCTTGGTCGGGAAAAACAGAGAGGGGCCCAGGACAGAAACAGAGGAGTTCTGCCGGCATTATGTGCGCTCTTGCCAAACGACACGAGCGACAAAGGTCCCCACGCACGCAGCCGGTTTTCCAAGCACCCCTCATCTGATCGGGGCGCACGCTCACGCCTCTGACCCGCGCCAGGCCGCGGGGAGGACCCGTCCCCGGGGAAGTCGGGAACAGGAACTCCCGAGCGCCCATGTGCAGGCAGACGTGGACCTACTTGTCGCTGTTGGCGATTCTTCGGAACTCGCGGACCGTCATGGCCTTCTTCTGGATGTTGTACTGCGTGAAGAGGCCGGACTGCCCCGTCACCACCTGCTGGATGGGCGCGGG